ATACCCAAATTATATTAAAAATTCCCGCAACTCAAGAATAAAAAGAGAAACAAGAATAATTTTTACCTTGAAACCCAGTTATACCACTGCTAGATATTTGTCCAAGAGATATAAAAAACTAATATGCACAAAAAGTCCTTTACAACAATATTTATGGCAGCTTTATTAATAAATACAGTTATTGTTTCTGGCTAGTAACTAAAAGCAATCATGTCTTTCAATAAGAAAATGGATAAATGAGCTATAATATATTCATTCGTTTGAATACCAAGCAGTACAGAGAAATAAACTACAGATCCACACAACCACCTGAATTAATCTCAAAAGCTATGATGCTGAGTGAAAAAGGTGGGCACCATAATTAAATATTGTGGGATTCCATTGATGTGATATTCTAAAATAGTTAAAACAAATCTGTGGTGACAGAAATCAGATCACTAAACTGTCTATATATAGAGACAGGGTGGCAGTAGGATAATGGCTGGGAGGGTCACAAAGGAATCTGCTGGGATGGTAGAGTTGTTCCTTGCCTTGATATGCATTCTTCAAAATTGATTGAAAGATACACTTAAGATCTGAGCATTTCAATAAATATAAATTTTACTGCAGTTTTTAACAAAATAAATGGCATTGAATAACTGAACATTATATTTCACCATGTTTTCACAAATATCATAACATGGGTTAGGCTATTATAAGAGGCCCAGGAGTCACTCTAGTGGGTCAGGAAGAGAATGGCCTCCAGCTGGCACATCCGGTGTGAAGACCCATACTGGGCCAGAACAAGGTGGTGATAAAGGAACTTCGGTAACCTCCAGATGAAACCACTGGGGCAAGGAGAGTTGAGAGAGAAGTAATTTGATTATCTCTTTTTTTTTCCTTTTTTTATTTTATTATGTTATGTTAATCACCATGCATTACATCATTAGTTTTTGATGGGATGTTCCATGATTCATTGTTTGTGTATAACACCCAGTGCTCCATTCAATACGTGCCCTCTTTAATACCCATCACTGGGCTAACCCATCTCCCCACCCACCTCCCCTCTAGAACCCTCAGTTTATTTCTCAGAGTCCATAGTCTCTCATGGTTCGTCTCCCCCTCCAATTCCTCCCCTTCATTTAGATTATCTCTTAATAAGCCCCCAATCTAGATTTTTTTTTAAGATTTTATTTATTTATTTGAGAGAGAGAGAATGAGTGAGAGAGAGCGCACATGAGAGAGGGGAGGGTCAGAGGGAGAAGCAGATTCCCTGCTGAGCAGGGAGCCCGATGCGGGACTCGATTCCGGGACTCCAGGATCATGACCTGAGCCGAAGGCAGTCGCCTAACCAACTGAGCCACCCAGGCGTCCCCCCAATCCAGAATCTTAAAGGATTAAATCAGTTCTAACTAAGGGCAGCACATTTGATAAAATATGCTTTCAGGAGCTCTGCCTCCTTTACCCCTCAAATTTCCCTCAGTCACTTGCTGAAATCTAAGTTTCTATAGAATAAAAGGAAATAATTATTTTACTTCACAAAACAAGGATTAAAATACAAATGTATAATTGAAATAATACTTTAGGATACATGAATTTTATTCCTGTGTAATCAGTGGATGAACGATTATGATTAAGAACTGGCCCTTCTCATTTCTGATAACATAGAAAGAACAGGAAGAAGAAACAGTCCTATTCAACACACATTTACTGAGCATCTACCGCGTGCTAAATCAGTGGTTTCCAAGCTTTTATGACTGTGACCTTTAGTAGGAAATGAAATTTATATCGCAGCTCTGTGTAGCTGTACATATGGATGACTAAAACAGTGTTATAAAATAAAACCTATGCTTTCTAAATGAGATGCACTCAGTGTTTTCTATTCTAGTATATTCTGTTTCATGTTTACAAAAACTCTGGTAAGTGACCCACCAACTGCATTTCATTACCCACTAATAAATTGTGAATGGTGGTTTGAAAAACACGGTGCTATCCTTGCTCCCCAGCATGTCGTCTGTGGGCCTGCAACAACAGTAGGTGGGGGCTTGCAAGAAAAGCATAACCTCAGGCCACATCTCCCACCTGCTGAATCAGAATCTGCATTTTAACCAAACCTCCAGGTGCTCCCCGTGCATGGTGACCTGTCACAAGTCCTGTGCTAAACAATGCGTGGAGAGAATGCTTGGGACAGACAGAGTCTTGTTGGTATTATTTAGGGCTGAGATTCTGACACAGGGATGGTTCATCTTTTAGAATACTCATTTCCAAGCATCAAGGTTACAATTCAGTATCTCCAAGGATATCCCAGGGCAGTTATGCTAAAAACGATAAATAAATGAACAAACAAAATTTACCAGAGCTTCTGAGCCCCATTAAGAACCACTGGTCGACTTGGTTAAATGAAAACTCTGTACTGATTTGTTTATTACAAAGGAGCAAGCCTGTGCTTCGGGGAGTATGGAAAGATTTTACTTTAGTTTTCACTGTGGATGACTTCATATAATATCATTTTATTCCCGGAATATTTATTGATGGAGGCATTGCTACTGCTACTTCTGAATTTGCCGCTTCATCCATATGGGAGAATTTGCAAACATCTTGATTCTACCGATAACTGTCCATTTATAGAAATGTAGTATGATTTCCAGTAGAAATATTATTAGTTGTGCTGAGTTAGCACAACTCATTCCCTAGGTTACTTCCAGTAGATCCCTAACCAAGGATCTCTACTGCAAAAGAAAATGGGGCTGCCCCTAAGTGACTATAACTGCTCATTAAGGACCTTCCCGTTGCGTTAGTATGTTTCCTGAGTGGTGGGAAGTTTCAGCCTGGAAGCTGCTAATCTTGCTAACACTAAAAGGCTCTCTCCCATTAGCAGCTTCTGTGTTGCATTAATAATAAGAAAGTAATAAAGAGACCGCAGCTGTTCAGTCTCTCCTGAGGAGAGGCCACAGCTTCCTTCTTATCCCCATGGTCCACTCTAATGGTCTTGCCTGTTTTAAAGTAATAGAGTGGATAATAAGTGTTGTCTATTCTATCAAAGTCTAAAATTCCCTCTTCTTTCTGGGGAGGAATACCTTTTCTTAAGACTTCCAAATGTAAAACTATACCATCCATACTTTTGCAATTGAAGTTGATCTGTTTAATTCATAACCTTTTTGACATGTAATTGCAAACCATCAAGTACGGGGGTGGGTAAGTTGCTTTAGAAAAAATAAATTTCTACCTTTCCTGGAAAAACTATAAAACAGGGGCACCTGGGTGGCTCAGTCGTTAAGCGTCTGCCTTCGGCTCAGGTCATGATCCCAGGGTCCTGGGATCCAGTCCCATGTCAGGCTTCCTGCTCCACGGGAAGCCTGCTTCTCTCTCTCTCGCTCCCCCTGCTTGTGTTCCCTCTCTCGCTGTGTCCCTCTCTGTCAAATAAATAAGTAAAATCTTAAAAAAAATTTAAAAAAAGAAAAAAGAAAAACTATAAAATAGAGAACTTCCTTAGATGGCTTCTTGTCTTTTATTTGGGGGGGGGGGTTAATTAAATCACTTACCTGCACAGAAGTAAATTAAAGAAAATCAAGGAATTAAGACCTCTGCTTTTATAAATATTAAAAACTCTCTTGCTAATAGACAAAGAAGAAATGAGGAAAATATCATATTAAAACAAAATAAGTCAGACTGGATTTGTTAGTTTCAGGGTGCATGTTAATATATGTGTCTTTGTTAAAGATGTTATCTTATTAGTCTCATAAAGATTGGAGCCAATGCCATACTTAAGAGCTTGTGTTCTTTTTCTATTGAAAATATCTAACCTTTGGCAGAAGTACACTTTTTTAAAGGTTCTCTTGATTTAACATCCATTTTTAAATATACTGTCTGTCCATAGAATAAAATTATCTATATAGTAGTTATGTTGTTGCAATTTTTCATCTATATCCAAACCTATTTTTGCTTTCAACTACATATTTTTTAATTGGGTAAATAGTAATCCATCATCTCAAAAGTGCTCTCAGATTTTCATTCCTTGGGGGCAAAATATTTAAGTCCAACTTACACTATTGTGTCCTGATTTTGAAAAGTTACTTTTATAATTAAGTTATATATTGCATATTTCTGTACTTGTAATTTATAGGAAAAAAAGATTAATATCAATAATCATCATCAGTGAGAATATATATATATATTTTTTAAAGATTTTATTTATTTATTTGACAGAGAGAAATAGCAAGAGCAGGAACACAAGCAAGGGGAGTGGGAGAGGGAGAAACAGGCCTCCTGCCGAGCAGGGAGCCCGATGCGGGGCTGATCCCAGGACCCTGGGATCATGACCTGAGCCGAAGGCAGACGCTTAACGACTGAGCCACCCAGGCACCCCGAGAATATATATTTTTAAAATGAAATATATGTTCATAATCCTCCTAGAGGAAATCACTATGACAGGCTCTGTGCAATATTTATATAAAATACAAAACTTACTGTATAAACCAACTGAAAGCAGTTTTCTAAAAACTTATAATCAATATATTTTCCTTCTAAGTATGAAACATCTTGAGAAAAAAAGTAAGACCTATCTAATGTCAAGACGGCCCATCCAAATATTTTTAATTATGTATAAAAGCCTTTAAATGAAAAAAAAAATCTGTAATTTGGGAAAGTGAAAATGTTAAGTATTCTTCATAAAATAAACACTAGATATTTCCTCTAGGCAAGTAACAGTCTAAATCCCTTTTAATTAATAACTCTTTCATATGGTCTACTTATTAGCCAAGTTTTTTGATAAATCCAGTAAACCCTCCTGTTTGTTGTTTCTTTTTGCTTGTAAAAAGTGAAGTGTTTACTACATATCAATTATTGCTAGTGTTTCCCTTAAATTTAGGGAAGAAAGGAAGTGAGTAAGACATTCTTTGAAACCCCAAAAAGCAAACAGGTCTATTGGAAAAGTAACAGCTTTGATACAGAATAGTCTTAAGAGTGTTGGTATCAAGCATATTTATCTGAATTACTTTTGTTTACTTTCTTCTGTTCTCTAGTCCATGAAGGCTCAGGAGAAACCAGTCAAAAGGAGACTTCAACCTGTGATATTTGCCAGTTCGGTGCAGAATGTGATGAAGATGCTGAGGATGTCTGGTAACGTGTTCTTTTTACTCTTTAAACAAATTATAACAATAATTAATTTCTTTTTACTCCATCAACCATATCCTAAAAGACATTTTCAGCATTTTTTCTTATCCAGTTCTGAAGGGGGGAAAATGAGGGCTATAATAACAGCAAGGAGTTTCTGAAGCTGAATTAAGAGCTGAACTAGCCAGGCAGCTGTTAAGAGCATTACTTGATAAGATATATTTAAAATATCACTTAGGCCCCCAAATACTGTCAATGTTAAGAGATGGAAAGAAAATCATATTTATCAGAACATCCCTCAAGAACCATGGTCAATCAACAATGGAGAGTTGCTACTCTGCTTTCTAGGATGGTGGATCTGGGTAACTGCAGAGAATTTATTTAAGGTATATGCATATGCACACCCATAGCTGAACTGGGAAGGCAGTAAAGCAAAGAATGACTTCTGGGCTACTCTCTAGGATCAACTTCTCCCTTCATCTGAGTAATACTCAGCTTCTTCTGAAAAGATACACTAAACAAATAATGAATAACATTCATTATTTTGCATGAGTCCCAAAATGTTAGTCTTCTAGGGCCTCCACATGTATTGGTCCTGCCCTAATCATACCCAAAGGGAGCAACCCAAAATTCACCAGAGTGAGGTCTTTGTGGCATGATAGTGGAAAGAGGCAGAGTTCTCCCTGGTTTACACACCTCAATTTTACACAGATATCTTTCAGAAAAACAGCCAAGTGCCCTTTGTTTTCTACATTATGCAGACTATGTTTGTCTAGAGGAGTTTATGATCGTTTTGATCAAGTTGGCTAAGAGATTAAATCTTCTCACCACAAAAAAAGAAATAGTAATTATGTGACATGATGGAGGTGTTAGTTAACACTATGGTGGTAATCATATTGCAATATATAAGCATATCAAATCAACACGATGTACACCTCAAATTTATACAATGTTATATGTCTATTATATCTCAATAGAGTTGGAGGAAAAAAACAATAGTTTTGATCAAACTTTTGTGGGTGGAGGAAGCAATTCATCTAAGGGACAAAAAGAAAAAACTAAAGGCAAGATAATTTTGGCAAGAGTTAAACAGTCTGCACTTAAAATATTTTAAGGATTTTTAGGATTCCAAGGGAGCAACTGGAGTTCTTAGGGTAAATTAATCAGGTACTTGTAGGTAAACACTATACCCCAGTGAAATAGCCATCCATTAATAAAAGCAAACATCAGTAGAGTTTTCGTACCTGTCAAACATTTCTCACCAATGAGTAGCTAGCAGCCAGTGGTAGTTTATGTACTGATTTGACTGTCCTGAGGTCAATAAATGTATATTTTCTTTAGTTCCACCCCAAAATTAATGAATCAGAATTTCAGAGAAGTAGGACTTAAAATTTTACTTATCTAAAACTTCCCAAATGACTATGAAACACTTCTGTAAAATAAATGACTGACTCAGAGAATCTTTGCTCCCTAAATGCTTTAGGGCTCTATATACTCATAGTCATTATATATTAAGACACACAGATAGGAAATGTATCCTTTAAATATCCCATTTTTAATGTTTGCTGGTGACCACATCTGTAGTTCAACATCATTTTTAAAGCTGTTAATTATCTTGCTGTCAGTTATTTTACTTTTAAAAAAATTCACATGGGTTCCTAATTTTTTCTTAAGAATTTCCATTCCCCTAACTTCTCATCTCTTCAGTGATCATCTTTAGGTAACAAAGCTCATTTTGCAAATGCAAAGATTTAAGAAATGAGATAAATAACAGCTAAAAACTACTAGTTGCTTACTATGGGTTTTGGTCCATCTGTTTAGTTTTTCAATTCTCAGTTACCTTCAAAATAACCCTAGGGGTAGATTCCACCATTATTTCCCTTTGCAAAGAGGAAACTGAGTTTTGAGGTGTTTAAGTGGTAGGGCCACAGTGAAGATATGAGGTGAAAGTAACTAGAAGATGTTAGCATTAACAATTCAACCAGGGGCGCCTGGGTGGCTCAGTCGTTATGCGTCTGCCTTTGGCTCGGGTCATGATCCCAGGGTCCTGGGATCGAGTCCCACGTCGGGCTCCCTGCTCAGCGGGAAGCCTGCTTCTCCCTCTCCTGCTCCCCCTGCTTGTGTTCCTGCTCTCGCTGTCTCTCTCTCTCTGTCAAAGAAATAAATAAAATCTTCAAAAAAAAAACAAAAAAACAAAACAATTCAACCAAAGATGCAATTAAAATCGTATTTCTTTCCTGCCATGTCTGGAATAATAAGATAGCCAGATTGCGGGCAGCTTAGATGTAGTGACTCAAGACCTGCAGGGTTAGAGCTGGTGACAAGGGAGATGCCTGCAGCAGGCAATGGGAAAATGTCCAGGCAGGCAGTGTCACTCCTGGTATTCTAGCAAAAGTTCAGATCTATGGTCTGAGGGCAGGTAGAATGAGGAGATATGGACAAGGCTGGTGGCATCAGAAAGATTCAACAGTAGGTCATAGGTCCCAGTCTTCAGAAAAAGAAACTCAATTACAAAGGGAACAAGGAGAAGGGCAAAGCAGAACTTCAATTATCAAGGAACTGGTTATCAATCAGGAAAACAGAGACAGATACGGGCAAGACTGGTTAGATACCCAGTTGCCGGAACTGATGTAGAAAGCCAAGCCTTGGTTACAAGGGGCTGAGACAAGCATCTAGATCTCAGAAATAAATTACAAGGTCAGAATGAAACCAGCAGCAAGGCTGACTGGATGCTGAATCAGTTAGCTTTTGGCTAGGACATCTTGTACGCCCCCAGCCTAGAGACAAGATTAGTTCCAAAATGCGGAATAAAGCTGAACCTCCAGATGGGGCTAAGTGGCTATAGCTGTGAAGATTAGAGGGATTCAGGGGGCAGGGAGCCAAGAAGATCATTATACTTCCCAGGCAAGAATGAAAAGTTGTTAGCATTTAAATAAAATGTACTTAAAATGTCCAACGTAAGCAAGAAGGAATGGTGCTGAAAATGGTAAAAGTATTGATTTTCATTTACATAAATACCTTTGTATGTTAACATATTGTATTTAGTTATGACCATGAAGGGCAGATTGGAACAGCTGAAGGACACAAGAATAAAGCAGTAAATGAAATTAAATAGGCGTGGAATGAGAGAGGCTATAAAATATGATAGGAAGCAGTTGGGGAGTGATCTGACTCTAGTACTAGTCAACTGAAGCAGAGGAGAGTTGATGTGCTGTTGATTTTGGATGAAACCACGACCAGGTCCTCTCCCAAACATAAAACACTGCATATGCTGTGTGGCAACAAAGAGTGCAACTCAGTCTTCAATTTTATTTTTTCCTTTGATACTAACTAAACTATAATTTTATGCACACAAATATCCTCAATCCTGAATTATGAAGCAACAAGATATGAAATACTACTATTATGTTATTATTGTATCTGCAATACTGAAACAAAGACGAAAAATTAATTCCTGATCTTTCTTTAACCCTGGCCGAAGAAATTAATATTATACATTTCACCACAAAAAAATAAGTCTAGTTATTCAAAAAATGCTTAGGTACTTTCTGGATGAAGTTAAATCTTTGTTAGAATTAAAAAGCCAGTTGATCAATTACAATCAATCATAATCAATTGATCTTCTTTTCATAGTTAGATGAGTTTTTGAGTTACACAAGTCACACTGGACATGAAGAAAGATAGATGATAGATAGATAGATAGATAGATAGATAGATAGATAGATAGATAGATAGATAGATAGATAATAGCTAGATAGATGGTAGGGGGTAAGGAAAATGGAGGAAAGGAGGAAAAAATAACAATTAGAGGACGGCATTGATAAACCATGATCCTAAACACATTACATTTTAATACCTTTGAGAGAATAGATGGTTTATAAGCTCATATAAGCCTCTCACTTATATTCTCTGATTTCATTTCAAGGTTTTTCTCTTCCCTTTTTCTTCTTATGGAGAACATCAAGGCTGTAGAAATCAGAAGATGGTCAGGTTTACTCAATAGCAAAAAAACACCATTGCTTCAGAAGATTCTTCAGTTATATTTATTGACCTAGGTGTAGGAAAGAATTAAGCTTCCAAAAGAGAGAATTAAAAGTCCACATGGGAAGTGGCTCACAACACAGATATATCCACTCTCATATGGAGGCATTCCTTTATTTAGGATGGACTTCAAACAAATGGAACACCTGTGCAAAGAAATGTGAAAGCTTATTTATAGGGAAAAGGTTAAGAGGGGAAGGAAAGAAGGGCTTAAAAGATTGTGTCTCTTGATATCTAGACTGAAAAAATTCAAAACTAATATGTTTATACATCAAAGAGACTCTCAAATATATCCTGCCAAATATAATTTATAAAGAAAAAGAATGGTTTATAAATAAGTCAAACATAATAAAATTGACTCATTGCAAAGTAATAAAGCCCCATCTGATAGCACTGGGAATACCAACTTATGATTTCAACAAATACTTCTGGTACTTGGTTAGTTTTAGAAACAGCTTTTTATTCCCTTAATTATCGTACCTGATAAATTATTTCAGTAAGTCCAAAGTAGGTCAATGGTAACTCTCTTTGCACTGGGAGCTACTCCTAAGAAGTAATTAGCCTAGAACTTTCTGTTGGTCCTGTCAGTCAGAAATGGTTCAGAGCCCCGGGGTTGATACTTGATTTAATGTAAGAAAAAAGCAAGCTGATAGCTAGGTCTGATCATAGGAATGGCTGGGTAAGAAATTGGCTGCATGCCTAACATTTCCAGAGTGTCAGGATAGATCAAGGAAGGAGCACAGGTGTAAAAGCAGATGTGGCTCATGACAAATGATATAAAGGGACAATTTAAATTATGTGTATTTGCTTCACATGTATGCTTGATAGCTCCTATTCCCATTTTAACTTTGCTTTTGTATCATTCTCTACATGCTACTCAGGCTCCATTAGCAAAATCATATTGGCTAAAATGCTATTAATTCCTCAGTAGTCATTCATTTTATCTTTGAAAACATTAATCATGT